CCCCCGGATTTCTTTGCCCCGGCTCCCGGCGGGGCCGAGCACCCGGCTCCGTGTTCCCGTTAATTCCCCTCAAATCCTGATTTAGGGATTGTTGGGGTTTTTTTGAGGAGCAACTGGCACCGGCTGGGATTTGGGCAGGCTGGGCAGGAAGGCTGGGGGGTCCGAGCCCCCAAATCAGCCCCGATCCAGCCGCTTCCCTTCCCTCCGTTTATCCGTGTTTTTCCTTCCTTTTATTTTATTTCCCCCTGACTTTTCCCTCCAAAAATGGGGGGAAAGACACTGCTTTTCCTTGCTGTTTTTTTTGTTTTAATTATTCGGGCCCCTAATGACGCGCAGCGACGGCTCCAAAGACATCAAAGCACAAAAAGGATGGCACAGGGTGGGGAAGCCCCGTTGGTTTCCCGACGCCCCCCAAAACCTTTTTTCCCCCCGGGATGAGCGCGGGGCTGGAAGCGGCCGGCCCTGCCTGCCCTGCCCGCGCCGGCAGCAGCGGAGGCAAAAAGTGCATTTATTGACGATCTTAAAGAAAAAACCAACCGGACAACTCGGGGGTGAGATGAGACTAATTATTAGTGGTTCTAAAAAGAGCTGGAACACCCAAGTAGGGCTTAACCCGTCTCCTGGGAAACTGATGGAGACCTATTTTACAAGCTGTAATTCTGCTTTAGACTATCGCGGGCTCAAGGCGGTTCACACTATTCCCTTTCTTCCAGAAATAGTCCTAATCCTATATTTCGGCCGGAGAAAGTCCGCTTCGGCTCCGCACTAGACTAATCCAGAAACCACATAAAACCAGGTAGGGGAAGGGGATGGAAAAGGGGAGGAGGAAATAAAAAGGTCTGAAGTTTGTTCCCTCTGCCCTGCGTAACCTTGAGGAGAGGAAATACTAAAGGGTGATGCCGAATCCGCCGGCTCCGTATTTCTGGGACAGATAAACCCGGGATTGCGGGGCTGGGGGATGCGGGAAGAGCCAGAGGAACTCGGAGGGATTTTTTTTGCTGGCTCGCTGCGGTGGTTTTTCGGGGTCCCGCAGTGGCGACAGAAATATTTATATATTCCCGATGGAGCAGAGGAAAGGGCATTCCGGGGTGGGAAAGGTGGATTTGGTAGTAGTTGGTTTTACTGGGGAAAAGAAAGGAAATAAAATAAAGCAAATCAAAACAAAAAAAAAAAAAAGAAAACAAATCTCTCTTCGGAAAAAAAAAAAAAATGAGAAAGAGAAAATTACAAAAACAAGAGAAGAAAAAAAAAGAAAATTAAAGGAAAGGAAAATTAAAGGAAAAGAAAAAATAAGGGGAAAAGAAAAAATAAGGGGAAAAGAAAAAAAAAAGAAGAAAGGAAAACGACGAAAAGAAAAAAATAAGACAAAAATAAAAGGAAGCAATAAAAATAGGGGAAAAAGGGGGAAAAGGAAAAAAAAAGAAAAATATCCCCATAGTCCCCGCAATCGAGTTCTTCCCCCAAATATTCTGTAAGGAGCTGTAGTCTGTGGAACACCCCGAAAATCCTGGGATCGGCTCCAGATAACGGGGACAGGTGTTTTTGACCCCTCCACCCTCGCTGTGCACCTGAGCGGCCGGGACAGCGGGAGGGATGGAATCCACCCGGGAAACGGGAATGTGAGGACGGGAAAAGCTGCCTCGAGCCCGGGATGGTGGGTGTTTTTGGGGGGAGGGGGTGTGAGTTGGATGGAGGGATGGATGAAGGGATGCAGGGAGGGATGCAGCGTGCAGGGAGTGATGGGGAGATGGATGCAGGGATGCCGGGGTGGATGGATGGAGGGAGGGATGGATGGAGGGATGGATGGATGGAGGGACGGACAGCAGTCCTGGCACCCCGCAGGGCCTGGCCCCCTCCCCCGTTCTGTTTGCAGGGGCAGCCGGGTGTGGAATTGCAGAGAAAGGAAAGGAAAAACATTAGGGGGGGGAGGAAAGAAAAAGTTTTGGGGAAGCCGCGGCTGAGGCGGAGGCGGCTGCGGGGGGAGCGGGGCAGGGACGGGCTCCGGCCCCTCCGGGCACCGCCGGCTCGCTTTTCCTCTTCACCTTCCTTTCCTCTCCTTCCTTTCCTTTCCTCTCCTTCCTTTCCTCTCCTCTCCTTTCTCTTCCATTTCATTTTTTTTTTCCATTTCCCCCCTTTCTTTTCCTTTCTTCTCTTTTAATTCCCCCTCCCACTTTTCCCATTTCTTTTCTTCACTCTTCCTTCCTTTCCCCCTTTTCCTTTCTTTTCCTTCCCCCCTTTGTATTTCTTTATTTTCCTTTCTTTCCTTATAACTTCTTTCCCATTTTCCTCATTTCTTTTCCTTGCTTTTCCTTCCTTCCCCCTTTTCATTTTCTTTTCCTTCCCTCCTTTCTTTCCATTCCCCCTTTCCCCCCTTTCTTTCCATTCCCCCTTTTCCCTTTCTTTTTCTTTTTTCTTATTCTTGCCCCCCCTTTTTTTTCCGGGTTTCTTCCCTCTCTCACTTTCCCCCCCTTTTCCCTCCCTCTTTTTTCCCCTCCTTACTTTTCCCCCCATTCTTTCCCTCCTATAGTTCCTTCCCCTTTTTTCCCTTTTCTATCCTTTCCCCCACTTCTCTCCTTTTCCCACCAACACCAACACCTTCCTCACATCCCACCCCACTCCCTCTCCACCTTCTACGTTTCCCCCAGACCATGGAGCCCTTTTCCACGGGGAATGTGGGAAAAGCAGGGAGCAGCTGTGAGGCTGTGGGCAGGGTCCCTCCCGCTGCTCCCACCTGCCAGGGGCTGGGTGGGGAATCCTTGTCACTCCACAGATTCCTGCATCCACATCCCGGCTGCCGGGAGCTCCCTACCTGTCCGAGCACCGCCCGTGCAAGGCCGGACAAGGAGCTCACCCTGCCTGGGGAAGGAGCAGCTTTCCACGGGGTTTTCTCCCACCAGCACTGAAAAGAATGATCCTTTATCCCTGCTGGAAAACAGCTGCCAAGTGCCACAGCCCGCAGGAGTGGGAACGTGGGGGTTTTATTTCCCACCCCGGTTCCGAAGGCAGCGACACCGAGGGATTTCAGAGACCTTGGAATGCTTTGCCTGTCCCTGCCAGGCTCCCGCTCGGTGCTTCCGCGCCTGCCTGATCCCACACTGATCCCACACTGCCCTTCCCTCTCCTTTATTTATTTAACTAATGGACAAGGAGTCGGTGTCAGGGGGAGCTGGGACAAATTGGGCTTCGCCCGTGCGCTGCTGCCGTGTCCTCATCCCTATTAAAGGCAAAGATTCCCATCTCCGATTGCCTCTTTGTGTCTGTACTCGTGAGCGATACCTGGGTCACGCTCCAGTAATTCCTGACTGGAATGGGGAGAAGCCTTAGCCTGGCCTGGAGGGAGCTCAAGAAGGTGCTTGGCCAGGATGGATCCCTCTGGGCTTCGTGGAAACAGGGAAAAAATGCCAACAGCACCTCGAGAAAGTTGAGTTCACTAATTCATGGAGCTCTCTGTGGGATGTGTGGGGATGTTTTTTCCAACAGCAAGCACAGGAAAGGCTTCGGAGAGGAGGAAAAACTCCAGCAGCCAAACCCCCCCCAAAACTGGGTGGTGATTTATACCCCTTCCTGTGCCAAAGCTTTTCTGAAATGCACCACCTTGGAGCTTGTTGTGGACTCTTGGATCCACAGTGGGAAGAAAACAGGAGTCCCACGGGAAGGGGTGGATTTGTGGATGCACCATCCCAGTTTTGCACCGCCCTGAGCCAATGCCTGGGGGGGGAACGTGGAGGGCACAAACCCAGCAGGCCTGGGAGGGGTGAGGAAGCAGCGGGCAGAGGGGACAGAAGGGGGGATTTGCTTCCAAAGGGGCTTCCAGGACTTTCTGCCAGCCCTGGGTCTGATCAGAGCCGTCATTAGCAGACCCATAAAAGCACTGCAGATGTCGAGCTGACAGCAGAACGTGTTCCTCGGGAGCATCCTGGGAAACTCTCTGGCTTGGAAAGTCATCACCTCACCCCTGCTTTTCCCTTTGTTTCATCTCCTTCCCCACCTTCCTCTCCCACCACTTCCCTGTGTGGATTTTTAGGGGGAGAAGAAGGGGAAAGGCCGGTAAGGGCCTTTCGCGTAAGGAGACCTGGAGAAATTCCCGTGTCCAGCACGTGGATTTGTGGAGAGACCCTCAAAGAAATACACCCAGAGGGGAGCAGGTGCTTTCCCTGGCACAAGGATGTGAGGAGGAGGAGGAGGAATTCATCAGCTGGGGTGACAGGAGCTGCCAAAACGGGGCCGGGGTTTCCGCAGGAATAAAAACCCAGGAGAGGGGTTGGATCTCCTGAAGTGCCTCTTAACCTTTTCCATATCCTGTTGCTGAAGGGAAAATAAACCCCACGAGGAGTCTCTGCCTCTTCACCGAAGCAAAAAAAAAACAAGGGGAAAAAAGAGAGAGGATAGTTATCCAGCTCTCCAAGGTGTTGGGATCCATGGAAAGGAGAAGGGGTGGGAGAAGGGAGCAGTCACCCAAATCGTGGGGAAAGGATGGGACAGGGCGCTCACTCCAGGCTCTGGATTAGAACATGGATGGAGCAGGTACTTTGCTGCTTTTAACACAGCAGAATCCTTCCCTCAGCTGGAACTGGAGATATTTGGGGTCAGGAATGGCTCCTGCTGGGAGGAGGTGGGGGAGAGCCACCTCAGTGTGCAGGAGGCCGATGGGATGATCTTGATGTCTGCAGGCAAGGCCTCGTGGGATGAGCAAGGGGGCTGGCACAGAGCAGGGCTTGGGATGTGGCAGGGTTTGGGATGCAGCAGGATTTGGGATTCAATGGGTTTGGGGTATAATGGGGCTTGGGATGTGGCAGGGTTTGGGATGCAGCAGGATTTGGGATACAATGGGTTTGGGGGTATAATGGGGGTTGGGATGTGGCAGGGTTTGGCATACAGTGAGTTTTGGGATGCAGCAGGGCTTGGAATACGGTGGGATAGGGGATACTGCGAGGTCTGGGATGTGGTAAGGTTTGGATTGTGGCAGGGTTTGGGATGAGGCAGGGTTTGGGATACAGCAAGATTTGGGTTGCAGCAGGGTTTGGGGTGAGGCAAGATTTGAGATATAGCAAGATTTGGGATACAGCAGGGTTTGGGGTGCAGGGGATTTGGGATGTGGCCGGATTTGGGATACAGTAAGATTTGGGATACAGCAGGGTTTGGGATCCAGAACGGGATGCCGAATGCCTGGGGGTTTGAGGGCTCCCTACGGGACGCCAGGACCTGTCCCCCTCTCCTGCTCTGTCCCCTTCCCTCACTTTGCTCCCCCTGCCCGGGGCCTCGGGCTGTGCCCACAGCCAGGACACCCCCGGAGCCGTGTCCGTGCCCCGGGAGCGGGAGCAAAGGCAGAGCCGGCATATTTTTCCCGAGTTACTTATTAACGGCTGTTCATTTGACAGGATCAATATTTCAGGCGAGGGAGCAAACACTCGAGCAGCCCCACTCTGCCGCGCTCTCTCCTTCCCTCTCCGCCAGATGATTTATTCCCGAAAATGCATCTGCCTGGAAAAAAAGAGGCAGCGCCCGGAGCCCGGGGGGCTTTTATCGGTGGGATATGCAAAGCACATTTATTCCGGGCTTTTTATCTCTCCTATTGCATGTTGATCCCATACATATAGATTGATTTTGTTCAGGTAGATAATGAAAAGTCAAGTGGAAAATTTACACAAAGGCACTCAGGATCTCGACTTTCTATTGGTATATAAATTGCTTTATTACTTCATTCCCTTAAACAGGGACTTTCACACCGGGGAACACTTTAAAATATATCATGTTTAAACACAAAACCATTTACCTCCCGCGTTTTGGTTTTTTTTGTTTTGTTTTTTTTTTTTTTCCGCGGGTAATTTCCTCGCCACTTTCGTTAATTACCGAAGGTATTTGTGTTTAAACACCTTCCCCCGGCGATCCATCGTCCTCCTCTCCCGAAAAAAAAGTCCTAACGGGAGCTTCCCGTGCCCGCCGCGCCGGCGAAAACCTCGGGAGCTGATATTTAATTCCCTGTAAGCAGCTTTCATTTCCCCACCTCGCCCGGCGCCAGGCGGTTAATAGAGGGCACAGTATGTGAGAGCACAGCTTGGAACAAAAAAAAAAAAAAAAAAAAAAAAAAAAAACCCCCCACCAAAAAAAAAAAAAAAAAAGAAAAAAAAACCGGAGGAAACATTATTAATAAACATCTTCTGGACATTTGGTGGCGGGCGGAGGCTGCTCCAGCTTAAAGCAATTAATTCAGGATACTGACATAAACTCTCCAGCTCTTTGACAGCTTGGAGCTGAAATAAAAATGCTAGTTCTCCAGGGAAAAGGAGAGGATAGTTGGCTCTTTTCTGGACTGTTTGCTTATAGGCCCAGAGAGCAATCTTCCTCGGGAATGAAATGCAAGGACACAAACAATGTACCAGGGAGAGAATAGGAGATGGGAATGAACAGTTTGAACTATTTGCTCAGCAGAAGGGCGGCCACAATGCCGGGCCAATGGCTTTCCCATGGATCACCCCGGCTCCTGAGCCCCCCTTTGTTGTGGAGCCCCTTCCTCCGGCCAGATAAGAGCACAGCTGCTCCGGCAGCCCCGCCACTTATCCACCCCAATCCCGCCTTCCCTGGCATTCCCGATGCACCCGCTCCGGGCTGTCCCTCGGATGCTCCGCGGGCCCCTGGGGCGATTCATCCCACACACCTTGGTTTGGAGTCCTCGGGGATCTGCAGGAAACCCTCTGGGGGGGGGAAAGGAAATGCTTTTTGGGTTGAGAAAAACGTTTTTTGGGGGACCAGGAAAGCATTTTTGTGTCAAGGAAAGCCTTTTTTGGGGAGAAAAGGAAATGGTTTTTGGAACAAGGAAACCCTTTTTGGGTGGGGAAACTTTGTTTGGGTCAGGAACTCCTTTAGGGGCAAGGAAAGCCTTTTTTGGGAAAAGGAAATGGTTTTTGGAGCAAGGAAACCCTTTTCAGGTGAGGAAACCTTTTTCGGGTGAGGAAACACTTTTTGGGCAAGGAAACCCTTTTGGGGCCAGGAAAACATTTTTGTGCCAAGGAAATGCTTTCAGGGGTGAGGAAACACTTTTTGGGTGAGAAAATCCTTTTTAGGCAAGGAACCCCTTTTTGGGCAGGGAAACCTTTCAGGGTCAAGGAAACCTTTTTGGGGCAAGGAAACCTTTTTGGGGCAAGGAAACCTTTTTGGGGCAAGGAAACACTTTTTGGGCAAGGAAACCCTCTTGGGGCAAGGAAACCCTCTTGGGGCAAGGAAACCCTGGCACATCATGCCCTGGCTTTGCCCTCACACATGTGCCATCGTGTCCTCATTCCATGTAGGCTGCAGGAATGCCACATTCCGTGGGATGAGGATGCTTCCAGCCCAGGCTGGAGATGCAGAGCTGCTAAAAGCAAGATTCCAGGTTTATTTAAGGCACAACGAGCCTGGAGCGTGTGTTGTCCTTGCTGCGGGATCCACCTCCTGAGAGCTGGATGGAAAACACTGGGAGCATCCTTGCATCTGACCACATCCAGGCCTCCATTCCCCTTCCCTCCCCGGCAATCACCCTCCTCTCATCCTCCCAGGCCACCCCTCACTTCACTCAAACGATGTGATCGGGCAGGGAAACGCCGGAATGAAACACAAATCCGGAGCAAGGTCGGCAGGGACGGTGCCGAGGGGGAGGCTTTGCTGTTCCTGCTCTTTGTCCCACCCCAGGCTGTCAGTTTTGGGAGCTGGGCTGTTGGGATAAGGTTTATTTAGCTTGAAAGGGCTTTAGGAGGTGCAAAGGGAAAAGGCTGCGGGCTCAACAGTCACGGAGCACACCTGCAGGAGACACCACCGCTGTCCCAAAAATCCGAGGGACCCTTTGTTTTGCTGTGGTTTTTCCCCCCCTTCTTCCCTGGTGGGTGGTCAGGAGGACGGGCTGGAAGGCAGGAGGGCTCCCATTGTCTCTGTGCTGCCCGAAGAGCTGATCCCACGTGTCCCTGAAGTCACGGAGCACCTGGATGTCCCTCACAGCCGGGGATACTCCGACAAGCCCTGCACTCCCGGCACGGACCATCGCGAGCAAACCACAGTCTGGCCATGAAATCCCTCAAGGAAAGGGTTTTCATGCCTTCCCAGCACAGCACTTTCACACCCCTTATCCCCCCTGGTGGCTGGGCTGCTGGGCTTTATTTAATTCTATCCGTTCTCACAGAACATCCCAGGTGGGACGAGGATCCTCACGCCCGAGCCGACCTCCATTTGGAAGGTGGGTCCGAGGCGATTCCCATTTCGGGGTGCCCAGG